ACAACTTTATATGTTTCTAAAAGCAAAGTCATCCCTTCGAATCTATGTTGCAGCTGGGAACAAATCGTATCAATCATCGGATAGAAAATCGAAACTTTGAAGAATTTTTCGGGATCAGTCAGTCTTTCGTCTTCGCTAAGTTCATCAAAATGCTTTTTTGTTTTTCTCGTTCTACGCTCTTCGAAATTGTTTGGAATATTAAATTTTGCACACAATTCAGAAGCTTCGGAATGGAATTTATTGAAATAATCGCGCATTTTTTTAACCTCTAAAAAAGCATTTTGAAGGTAATCATTGGCTGAATAAAGATCGAGTTCTTTTGCTTGAAGAGCTTGAGATGCTACGTTGACTTTCTCCAAGATTTTGCACTGAATGACTAGCAATAAGACAAAATCGAATCTTTCCATTTTCTTCAGGAGTCCTGAAGCTATGTTTCTCTCGTCTGATTTTTTACTTGTAAGAACGATACGTGACAGATTTTTGAGAATGTGCCCAAGCCTTGCTTTAAGAGGGTAGACAGCATCATATCGACCAGCCCAGCGAGTAGGGTTCAAAGTTTTGAGAGTAATATTATCATTTTCTGAGAGTTTTGGGGGCCCCTTTGAGGTCGGGGGCCCTGGTGCACCGCACCGCCTGCACCAGCCTCGCTACGGCCCTGTACTTATTTAAAGGCTAAGCTAAGGCTTGCAAAAAGATTTTGGCAGATTTGAATTTCCCTTGAAAAACTGCCTTAATAATTTCCAAATTAGAAAAGGCTTCCTTCAACCATTTTTTAAATGAAAAATTCAAATTAAATCAACTATGTATGAACCTACTAAGTATCTCTAAAGAAAAGCGAGATACCCAAGCCTCGCAATAACCGACATCCTGTATGTAATATACTGTTTATATTTTAATAAAATCAAAAACTTAAAAAGGATTTTTAGCATACACTTAAATTTTTTTTTATATTATAATAATAATAGTTTTATTGCCATAAGATCATTACAATGATAATGACAACGTCAAGAGGTTACAATAAATTAATAATATACCTACATATATAATAGTAAATTTAAGATTAAAATACATTATTTAAAATCATTAAAATATTAAGTAAAATACCTACACTAACGAATTAAAAGTTTATAAATTCATTAAAAGAGTAAAAACAGTTTTGGAGAAGAAAATCTTTTACAGCATATTTATATTCTGTAATTGATGGGATGTCCTTAATTTCATTTGGTAACTTAATTGTAACTTGAACAGATCTGTACAAAACGCTTCGATGATACAATTCGGAATAATGTGTAACCCTTAGCAATGTACCTCCCCTGGTATGCATACCATTAAAAACATTATTATTTCTGACGAATAAGTTAAAATTTTGTCTCACAAACATCAAAAGATGGTAAATATATAGACAAGGCAGCGGTAATATTTGATGCGTTTTGAAATATTCTTTGCATGATATACTTCTGCTTATTTTTAACATTGCTCGCATAGCACGTTTTTGAGCAATAAAAACCGACTCAAATTTAACACCGGATCCCCAAAATATTATACCATAACTTAAAACAGACTGAACATAAGAGAAGTAAAATGTTTTTAGACTTTGTATAGTGACGTGGTTACCTAGATACAGAGTATATCGAAATATTCTTTTTCTACGCTTATTACGGAATTTGACAGTTCTTATATGACTTTTTAATCTGGAATTACGTATATTCCATTAAAGTGTTACAGAATAATTATTCCGCACAGGTTTTAATGATGGAATGAGCACTGGGGGCGACATCTCTATGTTTATTTTATAACTCACTTGTATTCCTACCAAATCTAGTTTTTTCAGAAAGGCCCGGTAGAAAATATTAATCGGTAGTATACAATAGGATTTAAAACAGTTTGCGTTAACAAAAATACCCAAAATATATCTTCTTTACAAGCTAGTTGTAATTCTGTTTGGCCGATTTAGTAGGATTCTATTAGAATATTTAGGTTTGACTTAGTCCCAAAGAGATGGCAGCACTGGTTAATTGTTTACGTCTGTCAAAATTTGAAATTAAAATAATAACTTATTTGTCATTCCTTACAATTTGTCCATTTCTTCTTTATACTTCCTAATTAAGGTTCTGCAAAATTATGTAAGTAATTTTTGTAAGCTTATTTAAAAATTATCTTATTTACTACCATCATAAAATCTAACATCTGTCAAAAGATAACCTAACTTTTTTCCAATTAAATTATTTCTGTGGTATTTTTTATAAGCGTAGAAAAAGTATAGTCTGAAACACGTTTGGAATTGCATATTCCGCTCTCGTGAAACCGTCAAACTCGCCTTCGGCTCGTGTGACAAACTTTTCACTCGAGCGGAATATGCTATATTCCAAACTTGTTACAGAATATACTATTTTCTACTCCTATTACAGAATTTGACCGTTCTAATATCACTTTTATCTATGGAATGACATATATTCCCTAAAGTGTTACAGAATGAAATATTCTATCATCGGATGACAGAATAAACACTCGTGGCGACATCTCTGTTTTAATATCTAACAAATTTTAGACCGATCCAACCTCACTTTCTTCCAATTAAATTATTTTTCTATGGTATTTTTTGGAAACGTAGAAAAAGTATAGTCTGAAACTCGTTTGGAATTGCATATTCCGCTCTCGTGAAACCGTCAAACTCGCCTTCGGCTCGTGTGACAAACTCTTCACTCGAACAGAATATGCTGTATTCCAAACTTGTTACAGAATATACTATTTTCTACTCCTATTACGGAATTTGACCACTTTTGTCTATGAAATTACATATATTCCGTAAAGTGCTACAGAATGAAATATTCTATCATCTGATTACAGAATAAACACTCGTGGCGACATCTCTATTTTTAATATCTAACAAATTTTAGACCGATCTAACCTCACTTTCTTCCAATTAAATTATTTTTCTATGGTATTTTTTGGAAACGTAGAAAAAGTATAATCTGAAACACGTTTGGAATTGCATCGTGAAACCGTCAAACACGCCTTCGGCTCGTGTGACAAACTCTTCACTTGAGCGGAATATGCTGTATTCCAAACTTGTTACAGAATATACTATTTTAGAATTAGTGAATGCCAAGTAAATATTACCGTGATTTTAAACGTTTATGCAGTAACATAACAAAAATACAAACGATACATGCACTTCCTTACGAGCTTCCTTTCTAATATTTTTTATTAATAAAATAAAATCAAACTGTTGGGAATTGTCAAATATTGTCAAAAATTATCCTTAAAAACCGACATGTGTAGTGAAAAAATTATTATTTATTGTTTTATAAGAGATCATCAAAATTTAAAAACGAGATATTAGGCTAAACGAATCTAGCACAAAATGGTTAAAACCCAATTTTTTTAACATTAGGGTTAAATTTCGAAAATATATTTTAATAAAAAATATCCTGTCAAGAAGTAATTAATTTTTGTAACGCCGTGACTAGAAGTACACCGGGAGTGATAAATGCCGGGAGTACGGGCATTAAACGTACATCAGGTTTGTGCGCATGCGTGTTTCCACACCAGCTGATGGTGAAATTTCGGATTTATTAGTTGAGATTAAATTGGTACACTAAGGCCCAGTTGTATAACAGTTTGTAAGCAGCTAGTTATAACTACCCTGCTTAAAATACCCCATAGAGACCCTGTTCAAACCGATAGATATTTGTATCGGGATGTATGGTGTTTCTATAGGGTGTATCGGTTTGTATAGGACCCGTAGTTGAGATTTATGGTTGTTCTATAGGGATATCCACCATTGATTTATTTGCTATCGGTTTCAATGGGGAAAATACACATAAATGTAGAAATTAGTTTTTTCCCTATAGGACCCTATAGGTTTTAATAAAATTTTGTCAAATGTTTTATGGTTGCTCTATAGGGATATCCCTATATATCCTTCATTGAGTTATTTTCTATCGGTCTCAATAGGGAAAATGTAAAAGTTATGGTGTGCCTATAGGTAATTTCCTATACATTTTCTATCGGGCTGTATCCGGAAAAACCCATGGACAAATGCACATATAGAATCCGGTAGCGCCCGATAGATTATTTTGTATAGGTCTCTATGGGGTATTTTAAGCAGGGTAGAGAGTTATAACTCTTGATAATAATTATGTAATTATTAAGCAAACTTTCAAGTTGTATAAACATTAATTAAGGGATTGAAATACAATTAACAACAAAATTAATGAAATGTCAGTATCAATTACCCAAATCAACCCAAACTCAAAAACCCAACCCAGACGACCCCGCCCAATTGGGAACCCCCCCCCCCCGCCCCATTGAGCGCGAAATTGAGCGACCATTTAATATTATACAATTGACAAATATGCTAAATAAGGATTTTTTTCCACCCGGTGTACGTTTAATGGCCGTACTCCCGGTGTACTTCTAATCACTTTGTTTTTGTAAATTATGTAATTTTAATCTTTATATATTTAATGAATTATATAATTATAATTATTTATAATAATTAGTTCTTTGAAATTTCTCTTTTAGTACTTATTCAAGGTAATTTAAAATTGCTTTATATTATTTTTGGTGCCAGATTCAAAACCATTCATATTTTTAGAAATTTGTATAAGTAATTTCGAGTGTACCTAATGTAATTTCGAGTGTACCTATAGGTATTATTTTTTTTAATTGGCAATAAGTTTTAACCAATAAATAAACTTTAAAAGAAATATAAATATATATATATATTTATATTTCTTTTAAAGTTTATTTATTGGTTAAAACTTATTGCCAATTAAAAAAAATAATAACACCAATAACACCAGTCATTGCTAACTACCATATTTTATATCTATATTTTCACCTCAATGTAAATTTTTATTTGTATATTATATATTGTAAACATTTTTATTTTTGCGTTTAATTATAAAAAGGCATCGCTGTTCTTAAAGGTAAAATTTCCTTACGATATTGATTTTAAAAAACTCATTTTTATAAAAAATAATATTGAAACTTACCATTTTACCATAAACTCGGGTCCAATAGAAAATATCGAAGAGCGATTGGAGCTGGAAGGGAATTCTGACAGGTTATCCATGAAGATGGGATCTACATCATAAAAATTAATTAATGTTAATATAGGTTACAATATAGTAACAACAAACTTGTATTTACCTAGATGTATAGTTAAATGTCCTTTGGGACCTTGAACTTACACATTGTCTAAATATACCAAGTTTAACAAAGATATAGTCTCTAGTTCAACATTGATCATGTAACGGTTGTGACGATGTTTGTTGAAGGGTACAATAATGCAATGTTTGTGGCATGTGGGCAAGTTTATTAACTATTATTTAAACAAAGCTTTCTTATATTTTACCGTTTCCTACACATAATTATTTTATATAACATATTTCAGTTTCATTGTTGCCCTATCATACCAAAATGTAGGCATGCACATGTAAATAAATATATGTTTATTACTTAAGGTAAATACAAAAATTGTTGATTTGCTATTAAAATCAGATATAGATTTGAGTCACAATTCTGAAATTAGCACAAAATAATTTTGGTTCTCATAATTAAACTGCTTATGGCTAAATTGATAACGTTTTATGATACAAATGAAAATTTTAGGCCAATTTTTCGGGAAGTTTCACATCGTTTAAATGCTTCAACACATTTCGACGCAATAAATATTTTTTTTTATTATTTTTTTTTATGTTCTCTGTGTTGCAAATACACTTCGCGTCAAATTTAACGCACCACCAAAAATTTGCCACAATTTCAAAGTTGATTTTCTTGCGAACCGTCAAACCGAATTAGGTGATTTTTTTATTAAATTGTAGGTCTATTCTTCGGTACTTTTGCGTTTATTGAAATATTTTTACAAATTTACATTTTAAGTATATACAGGGTGCACGAGTGATAATAAGTTTTTTTCCGGAAATTTGAAACGCCCTGCGGGTTGTACTCATATAATTAAACTATAGCCCCATATTTTCTTAACATTTTGTATTTTGATTCACGTCGCTATCTCTTTTTTTAAATGAGATATACTGTTAAAGACTAAATAACTCCAGTTTTATGTAAAATTAAAGAACTTAACATAGGTAAGTCATAGAAAATAAATAATGGTGTGCAAATGTCAGAATAATTTTTATTTAAGTTGTCTGCATAAAGTTATTGTAATGGAGCGCCAAGTGAGAAATTTGAATCGTGATGAATGTGTAAGAATTATTAGATTGGCCGAGCAAGGATTAAGCTACCGTGCCATAGCTCGGAGATTGGGAGTTAATCATACCTCAATATCCCGTGTTATTCGAAGTTTTTAAGAAACCAATGATCATAACAGACGTGATGGGCAGGGAACGCATCGAAACATGATCGTTTCCTTTATTTGCATGCTTTGAGAAAACGATTTGAGAAAACGATTTGTAACAACAAGAAATCTACATGTAGATTAAGTTGTACCTGCAGGTACAACTTAATGCTACTCATAATTTTAAAACAAGTGTGTCCAGCGTAAGAAGACGTCTTGCGGAACAGAATTTGACCTTCAGAATTCCAGCAACAGGACCGAAGTTAAATGCAAATCATCGTAGAGCCAGGCAACATGTTGGCTGGAATATTGAGGATTGGCAGCGTGTACTATTTACAGACAAGTCCAGGTTTTATTTATTCAGCTCTGATCGGCGAGTACACTGTTCAAAATTTTAGCTAATTTTTACCTAAAATATTAGACTATATAGGACCATTAATTTTTTAAGGCAAACTGCTTAAAATGAATTCAGAGGAATATTCCCCTTTTAAATTAGTGAATTCTTTAACTGATATTTTTAAAGAAAATGATATATTTAATTAAGCAAAATTACTTAGGTTTCAAAGATAATACACCTTAGATCGTATACGATATATATATATATATATATATATATATATATCCCTTATAAGGGATATTGCCTGAGAATAAAAGAATAAATTTCCTGTTTCTAAGGCAATTTGCTTAAATTTTTAGGTAAATTTTAGCTAAGTTTTCAGGCAAATTATATATATTTTTATTGAAAATCCTAGCATAGGAATTTTCTTCCAAGTTAGGACTCCTTTATCTTTGTGTCCTAGGCGAATTAACAACGGCGGTTCCGGTACTACATGTAGTATTAGCGATCGTAGCCGATTGCAAGTAAGTCACTAATATTTAAAGGAATTTACCTAAATTAGTTCAATAATTTGCCATAATAATTTAGAAGAATTACCTAAATTAAAAGAAAAATTGTCGTACCTAAAAGTAATTGAGATTTTAACTAAATATTTAGGTAATCTGCCTATCTTTTTAAATTTGACAATTTTATTAAGTAAAGTATGAATATTTATCTAGAAGTTAGTGAATACACCATGGAACAAAGGCATTCGTTTCTGCCTAATAAACGAGAAGGTAAATTGCTTTACTCGTTTAAGCACATTACCTTATTTTTCCTTAACTAATTCTGATTAGGTATTTCAAAAGGCTTGATTTTGAACAGTGTAAGGGTTCTCCGACGTCCAAATGAGAGATTTTTACAGTGTAACATTCGTGAAACCACGCTTTTTAATGGAGGTTCGGTAATGGTTTGGGGAGGAACTTCCTTGACAGCTCGCACAAAACTCGTCATTGTTCGTGGATGTACAATGAAAAGTGTACGATATATCGAGGACATTTATCTGAGCATGTTGTCCCTTTCGCCCCGTACATCGGTAATAATTTTTTACTGGTGCAGGATAACGCAAGACCTCACACCACTCTTATAGTGCGAGAGTACTTACATGAGGTGGGTGTTTAAACTTTAGACTGGTCTCCAAATAGTCCGGATCTCAACCCCATTGAGCATTTTTGGGATAATATGGGTAGACGAATAAGAAATCATGATCCCTTGCCTGCCTTCCTTGATGACGTAGCAAATAGGCTACAAGCAATATGGAATGTCATTGATCAAGGCGAGATTAGACATCTGGTTTGGAGTATAAGCCGTCGATGTAAATCCGTAATTACAAGTAGAGACGGAAATACGCGATATTTTTTATTGTTATTGTTACAATCGTTCTTTCTACATTTTTTATTAAACTGGAGTTCTTTAACATTTAACTGTATATTTCTTTTAAAAATAAAGATAACGCGGTGAATTAAAAAACAAAATGTTAAGAGAAGATGGGGCTATAGTTTAATTATAAGAGACATATGCTGTTATAGCTGGTACAACCCATAGGGCGTTTCAAATTTACAGGAAAAAACTTATTATTACTCTTGCACCCTGTATATACTCAAAACGTAAATTTGAAATAATATTTTAATGAAGGCATCATAACCAAAGAATAAACTTACAATTTAAAACAAAACTACCAAATTCGGTTTGACGGTTCGCGAGAAAATTAACTTTAAAATTGTGGCAAATTTTTAGTGGTGTATATGAACAAAATTGTTTTATTACGCATATAAAGCACACCAAATAACAACTCGAGCTCGGACCCTTTCGATTTGGCTAAAAATTTTATAACATACAAATTTTTACTCTCTCACTAAAAACGTCTTACACCAACGCTCTTTTTAATTTTTAAAAACAAAAAAATAAAAAAGATACGTCCCCATTAGTCGGTTTAAAAAAAAAGGCAACATTTTTAAAAAATTTGAAAAAATTCACAGAAATCTTTTTAGTGGGGCAGTATGATATATAGATTGAAATTTTAGTCAAATCAAAAGCGGTCGATTTGGCGTGAAATATATTCTTTCACATTTATGTTTGAGGTGAGTAAAAAAGGCGCCTTACTCTCTAAAATTCCCAAAATTTTACAGCCACTTCGTATATAAAATTGTCCCCTGAATCCGAAAACACCGTCAAAAGTTAAAAAAGTAAAACAGTTTTTGAGATATAGTCAATTTTCCATTTAATATAGAATTAACTATATCTTAAAAACTGCTCCACTTTCAAAATTTTAGGATTCGGGGGACAATTTTACATTGGCTGTTAAATTTTGGGATACCATGGTCTTCCATGGTTAACCATGGTACAAGTGAAAAAGCAGCCACTAATAATTATTAAATTAGTCCTTGTTGACTTTTAGGACACCCTGTATATATAGATCCGACCCTTGTAGATACGTATACGTATCTATATCTATATATACAGGGTGTCCTAAAAGTCAACAAGAACGAATCAAAATACAAAATCGTGACCTTCGTAAAAAATCGTTAGTTTTATTTTGAACTATAATCAATAGCAGGGCTATTCAGGGTTGCGTGCAAAAAATAGAATCTTAGAATATGGAATTTTGATTTGATCTAAGGTTTAGATTTTCACAAAATTCATAAAAATGTCGTAATTACAAGAATATTTAAATATTTTAAATAAATGCGTATATTTACTAGTGAAACTTACTTTTTTTTCGAAATTCCCAAGTCATAAGGATTTTTGTTTGGACATATTCTCAGTTTATTTCTAATTTTTGAGTACCGCTGATTTTTTTTTCCAATTTTTAAATTCTGTTTTAATAGAATTGTACCTTTGCAACTTTTTCTCTAATTTAACCGACCTTGTAGCTCTTCAAATAAAAAAGATACGCATACATAGAAGGATAATTGGTGCACCATGTATTTTAGATGTGTTATATAACGGCTTAGTTTTTTCAATCTTTTATGCTCAACTATCAAAAAATAGTTTTATAATTCCTTTTATTCCTAAAAATCTTATATTCAATATCCTTCGCTACCGTTAGTTTCCCATTTTTAGACCACTGTTTATTATACAGTGTGGAACTCACTTATGGAATAAAATTCGTTATTTGTTGAGAAAAGATTTTTATGAAAAACGCTCGGACACGTAAACTTTAGTTTTTTATTCCAAATCTTATAATGATGAATTTTAAATTTGATGCCCCCACCATTTTCCCCCCCGCACATTAGGCACCCTTATCTTAAATAACAACCCCACTTTTTTTCATCGAAAATTGATAGTGCACATTTTTTTGAGTACGACGATACCACATAAGTAGGGTTTGGTAACAATAATTTTCAATACAGGGTGAATATTTAAAAATTACAAGTATGAATTTTTTATTGTTATTCTATGATTTAGTTT